CAAAGTGAGCAAATAGTTGTTTTAGTGACATTCAGCAGCTGGATCACATCTCTAAAGGGCTGCTGCTAGTTTGGTATTTTATTAGCACTAAGTGCCTGTTTAAATCCTGTCCAGACTTTTCATGCTGCAGAAGATTCACACAATCTCTCAGTGCAGGTCTCAAATGTGCACAGCAAGTTCTATGATCTGTAACAATTTGGAATAGATGTAAATACTGGTACATACTATTACTAAGAGCACAAAGTCACAGAATGCCTAACAGAGACAATCAGCATAAGCCCTTACAAACAACAAAAATAGGAAATAAAAAACACAGCAAAGGTAGATCCAGTGTAAATAGATAAATATTCATATTAAAAGTAATAAGAACGTAGAGAGGACGTATGATGAAGGTCTATACAGAGGGCAGTCCACAGGGTAGGGGCCACCAGAAAGGTTTTTGTCAAAGGATATGAGCGACCTGGTGAGTATGTAAGATTGGAACAGTTCAGAAATGTATGCAGGCGTCTGACTGTGTATAGCTCTGTATGTGAACACAAGGATCTTACAATAAATTCTGAATCTAACTGGGAGCCAGTGTAGGGAGTGTAAAGTGGGTGTGATGTGTGGCATCTGGCTGAACCTTGTTAGCAGCCTTGCAGCAGCGTTCTGAACTAACTGTAGACGATGTAAAGATGAATTGTTGAGGCAGGTGAAGAGGGAATTACAGTCGTCTAAACGGGATGAGATAAAAGCATGAATTATCATTTCTAGCAGAGGCTGGTGTACAATGGTCCTCAGTCAGGCAATGTTTCTCAGGTGAGAGAAACCAGTGCGGACTGTTGAGTTAATATGTTTTTCAAAGTGCATTGACTGACTGAATGTGACACCGAGGTTTCTGAGACTGCTCCTTTTGGTAAAAGACAGGGACCTCACACACTCAGCCACCGTAGAGGCTATGCTGTCTGGACCAATAATTAGAATTTCAGTTTTGTCTGGATTACGCTGCAGGGATATCTCTGCCATCCAGACCTTAATAGCAAGCAGGCAATTATGCAACACTTCAGCTTTTCAGTTTGTTCAGGTTTAAATGAAACATGCAGCTGGGTGTCATCAGCATAACAGTGGTATGCAATGTCTTCAAATTTGCTTATAACCTGACCTAAAGAGAGCAGATATAAAGAGAATAAAACTGGACCCAAGACAGAGCCTTCAGGAACACCACAGGACAAGGTGGGAGTATCAGAGCTGTAGGGACCGAGTGATGCTGAGAAATGGCGGGTTGTCCTCCAATTGTAAGGTTGGGGGTTCGATCCCCCGCCCCTCCACAGTTGAAGTGTCCTTGGGCAAGACACTCAACCTGAAGTTGCTCCCGATGGCAGGCAGCACCATGCATGGCAGCTCTGTCACCACTGGTGTATGAATGTGTGAATGAGAAACACATTGTGAAGAGATTTGGATAAAAACGCTATATAAGTGCAGACCATTTGCCAAACTCCTATGAGAAAGATATAAGGAGCACCTACCCACTGCCTTAGCGTCTTGATTACAGTTCTGTCAGTGATCAACTTTGTCAAAAGCGGCACTTAGATCGAGTAAACTCACCTGGATCAGAGGACATGATTATGTCATTGCTAATTCAAAGTAAGGCAGTCTCTGTCGGATGCAGTTTTTGAGACAAATGGTCGCTTAGATATTGGATGGATTAAGATTTTTTTGGCTCAAGATTGGAGCATCAGGAGGTGCTGGATTGACAATGTTGTCAAGCAGGACCTTTGGGTTGTGTTTACAGGAGGAGATGAGATTAGTACTTTACCATGTTACTGAATTCAGTTATAACATCTCTGTTATGAAGACGATGAATCTGGAGTTTGGTTGTTTTGCACCATAGTTCCGCCTGACGACATTTCCATCAGAATGAACCAATAGAGTCCATTAGCCAGGGGGATGAATTGCCAGAGGGGACGAGTCTTGTTTTCTTAAGAGCTATGAATTCCAAAATGTCCGAGCGATGTGTATTGAAGGAGGCGATCAGACTGTGAGCATCAGTGTGCCTTGAAACCACTGTATTTGGAGCAAAAACTTCTAACATCTTTTCCAGCTGAGAGGTGGTTTAGGATGCATGAGGAATTTAGACATTCACAGAACTGTGACTCTAATTAAAATATCCAATCTAACAAAATACATTCATGTCAGTAACATGGAGGTCCTCAGAAGTAACAGAATCAATATTTAAACCAAGTGTAAGAACATGGTCCAGAGTAAGACCCCTGACGTATGTGCGACCAGACACATGTTGAATAAAAGTAAGAGTCAGTGATGTGAATAAAATCAGCAGCAAAGGTGCAGGAAGTGTCATCAGCATGGATATTTTTCTGCAGAGAACTTTCTGCAGCTTTATAATTGAGGATATAAATTCACTAAAATCAGCCAGAAAGGAACTGCTAAAATCAGGAGGTCTGTAAATTAAGATCCCGCGACCCTCGTGAGGATTAAGTGGTGTATAGATAATGGATGGATGTAAATTAAGATGCTTTAAATTACAACTATGAGACCAACTTTGGTCACTTGTTGCTTAAATGAGGAGAAATCCTCAGTGCGCACAATACAATAAGAAAACAGTCCTTAAAGACCACAGCAAGTCCCGCCATGGCCAGAGGACCTGGGTGTGCAAATGAATGTAGAGCCAGGTGGACTTAATCAAGTGAAAGCACCATATATAATACACCCAACCCTTGGTACAGAAACATCAGACTGACTGGATCATCTAGAGAAGCCAAAGACAAAGGACAGCCATTGCTCAGGTGGTAGAGCGGGTGTTCAGTGGATGTGAAGCTGGAACTGGTAGGTGGCAGATCTGCCATCACTGGTCAGTGGGTGTGGGGATTGAGACACACATTGTAAAGTGCTTTGTATAACCTGGCTCAGGTAAAAGGCTCTTTATCAGTGAGTGCAACTGTTATGTATCAGCAGTCTGGACACATATGGACAGTATGTGTTATCTACATGACACACCATCACAAGGTGAGCACATAAACATTTAATTTGATAGTCATCTTATCTATTGTTTGTATCTCTCACTTTGAACATTGCCTTTACTTTGTCAGTTGATCCATCCATACATACATCAATACATACACACATACATTATCTATACACATCTTAATCCTCACTAGGGTGGTGGGGGGCTGGAGTCTATCCCAGCTGACTCAGGGTGAAGGCAGGTTCACCTGGACAGGTAACCAGTCTATCACAGGGCTACACTTAGAGACAGACAACCAAGCACACTCACATTCACACCTACAGACAATTTACAATCACCAATTAACCTCAGCATGTTTCTGGACTGTGGGAGGAAGCCGGAGAACCCAGAGAGAACCCACGCTGCACGGGGAGAACATGGAGACTCCACGCAGAAAGATCCTCACCGGGTTGCCAACCAGCGACCTTCTAGCTGTGAGACGACGGTGCTAACCACCGAGACACCTGCAGCCCTTGTCTGTTGATGTGAACTGAAAACATTTTGTTGATGATGCTTACTACTAGGTAGCTTTAAATCAAATTGTAGTGATTTTTTTCTTAGGCTTAACCACAAGATGTGGTTGAAATCAGTGCAGCCACCCCATCCCCATCTCCCCATGTGACCAGATCCACTGACAGACAGGACCACTGACATGCTTTCTTGGTGTGAACCTAAAGTGTGTAGTCCTCAAAACATAGCTAAAAATAAGTATTAAAGCATGTTTACAAATCCAAGGCTGTCTAATTTACACAGAATTCCCAGGATTATGGAAAGTAATGACATCATTTACAAGCTGCCATCTGTTAAGATGTTTATTCCTGATAGTTTGTCAAGCGAAGTCTACAGAGAGACAACTGCAACAATAATAAATGTGAATTTACAGTCCCAGTCTATTGTTCGATAGTAAAGAACAAAAAAGAAGATGGTGGTAGTAATTAAGATATGCAGTGTACTGGCTTATAGTTTTATCAAATACATCATCTGTCTGTGTGAGCAATGAGTGACAGACTGCAGATGAAGAGATAGTCATGAATGGGAAATTAAAAGTGTCAGCAGTTGTGGTCTCCTGGGTTTTCTCATTTATATCAGTGCATGAAATTGTGTGTGTGTGTGTGTGTGTGTGTGTGTGTGTTCACATGTATGTACTGCTGCAGGACAGAGGAGGGGTGGGGGATGTTGTCCTGGTTGTCTCTGTTTGTACAGTTCAAATCTCCCAAGACTCCAATAATGCAGTTTTCTGTAACCATGTAGCCCTGGCAGAGCTGATTAGAGTGGACATGCGGGAATGGAAGGAGGAAAAAGGACGCAGCTTCTTCGTCTACCAGCCAGAAAATTACCTTCTCGGTTTAAACATACAACAGCAGGATAAAGACAGGCACATGCCACACATGAAACACAGTAAACTAGAGAAGACAGGGTTTAAAAAAAAATAAAGAAAGAAAGTATAGAATTTCTGCCAGTTGCTCTTGTCGGGTAGTTGACGTTCGAGTCCAGGTAACAGCAGAGAGGATAAGGACATGTGACACACTGCATGTTCATAGGCCTGTTTTTTTATTTCCTTAGTACACGTGTTCAATAACTTCTTTAGTTGTTGTTCAGTTACAGCTCACAGTGTCTCCATTAATGCAGATGTCTTCCTGAGCCAGTCAGTCTGATGCAGGTCTGTATTGCTAGAAAACCATTTTAATTAGAATCCTTCTCTTCGGGGAACTCACATCAATTCAATTCTAGTAACTTTATTTATCCCCTACGGGCAACTAGGATGAGAAAGTAAATAGTTCCCGTGGCTAATTAGTTAATATCCATTAAAGAACTTTTTTTTTCTGACAGCCACTGTGTCAGATGTAGTTATTAGAAACTTATGTTGACAGTATATCTTCAGCTGAAGCAGAAACGTGTCTCCGTGGAACCTTCTTTCTTGTGCTGTTTTGTACCACCAGAGCGATGACCTGTGAGTCTATGCTGTGTCTGTATTCAAAAATAATCTTTTGTTTTGCAGGTTCCATTGCAAGGTGCTCCTACATCAAGTATCACTACTCCTCGGCTACAATACCCAAAAACCTCTCCAACAACATCACCAACACAATAAGGCAGGACGAATGGCACTCCCTCCGTAAGTCTGCTACTGTCTGACTTTCCTCTCTACAGCTTAGCCATGAATGCGGCCATATTTAAGGTAAATGCTGTTATAGAAACAGGAAAACTTTGTTGTGAAGGTTATAGGCTAAAAAACTGGAAGTGGTAAACAATCTTTGTGCTGTGCAGTCACTTGACCATCACTATGCAGTGACTGAATGTGTTATTTTGTTGACCTGGGTAACATCATTCTTCCATTCATCACTTTGTTTCACAGTATTATATTTTATGCAGTTCTGGCCAGAGTCTTCTGGAATATATTGGTTTATTGTCAAGTCATGGCTCACAGACAAAAAATATGAATGCTTTTGATGATCCCTCTTTGAATTTGGTGTAGTGCCACATTTAAATCAGAATATACTTTAGATCAACATGACAGTGGCAGAAAAACTGATCGAGAAACTGAATATCTTTAAAAGTTCTTGCAGATGTTTCTAGTTGAGCTTTCTTTGTCTTCATCATGTCTTAGTACTTCTATCAGTTCTTTTATATCTTATCCATGTGTGTTCATTCATTGGAAGGTTGCTGAGAACCGAAGCTTATCACAGTTTATATCACGTGTCATTTAACCTAACCTGTATGTATGTGGACCGAATGAGGCAATCAAAACTTCTAAAGGAAATCCATGAAGAACATACTCACGTCACACCTAGTTCCAGCTGGCTGGCCAATTCTTGCTGTGAAATAACAGTGCTTGGAAGATGTCTGTGGAGATTCTCAGTCCTCCAGGTCATGGTTGTTCTTGTAGTTTGATCATAGCAACTGGACCTGCTTGAGTTCCTTGAAGACGTTCCACCTCTCATCCAAGAGGCTTCATCAGCTCTGACTGACTAGTTGGGAGTTCCACATACTGATATCCTGAAGGAGACATTAACACCTGAGTTTGGGTTTCTGGGTTTGTTGCTCCTCCCCCTCGTTATGCGAGTCATTAGTGCTCCCCCTGACACAATGGGGTTCGTTAGGGTCTTTGTGGCTAGGTGTGGATGTGGTTTCATCTTCCTGGGGAGAGTTGTTGGACGATTTGAGTCCATTTTTGTTTAAGATTGTTTAAGATTTAGTTTTTTCGATTTTAATTTTAATGACTGCTTGGCTTTTACCTTTAGCCTTTCTCACAAGGTGACATTTAGGTTTTAGATTAGTCTGCATGCGATTTTGCAACCCACATTCATGTTGAGGCACCTTCGGTGTAAAAATCATTGATGGTGTCTTGTGAAAAACTGTATGGTGTGCTAAGGTAGGCGACCAGTCTGTCCATCCATGTTGTTGGTTATCAATCACTGTCTGCTGCAGATATTTTAATTTAACCCAAAATAAAAGCTATATTGTTTTATCCCATAGTTCAGTTATTGTTCATTAATTGTATTTTTATTTTTTTGTTGTACTGTACACTTAAAATGTCAAACATGAGCAGGCTCCTTGGTAGGATGGATTTATTCATTTGAGTAAATTCACTGGAATAAATCCATCAGGATTTAAGGGGCAGATTGTTGTGACATTTGAGAACGGCCATATTCCTGAAGGGATGAATCATTTAGATTTTTCAGTAATTATGTTACCGACTTTTCACACCCCTCAGCCCCTCACCATTTTAGGTAAGGCTCTGAGAAGAGCTACATGTTGTTCTGTCAAACATCCTCGTTTGTGGGTAAAATGAATACTATCTGTATGTTTATGTGGGGTTTGGAGAGAATACACGATGTAGTGGGAGGGCTTTTTTTCCCCACAGTATTGTTAGCCTGTTGGATTGTTTTTGCTTGGCTACAAGTGCTGTCAGGAATCTGGGGGAGTCTACTTACTTTTGGGATACCTGCCATTCATGAGCTATTCCTCTGGGCATGTTGTAGCTCTCTAGTCGCATGACCACTGAGCCGAGTGGAAACACGCTCTGACCTCAAACTGTCACTGTCTAAGTCCGACCAGTCCTCAGTTGTCAGGTGACAGGCTTGTGAAAAGCTCCACGCTGCTACAGACATGGACAGGACTGCTCTGCTGTCGGTTTCTCCTTTCTGTTTCCCTGCACACAGCTCTGTCCTATGAAGCAGAGGAGGAGAAGTTATCTCTTTAGACACTGTTCTACAGCATAACCAGGGCAGAAAATGGTCATGTGTATGTATTATTAACTCATATTGAATGATTCACCTCATAAATGCTAGAATTTTGTAGCTGTTACCTAATAAAACGCTAAACATGACTGTAGTTATTGGACTCAAATGAAAGAGGACACACGGTAAGGCACAACTTAGATTATGGTTATACACTCAAAACAATGAGCCCTGCTGATGGGGTTGCCAGACTGCAACTCGCTGAATGTGTGACTCACAACCACCCCCACAGCTATTGGAGAGTCTCCCGTTTGGCCATCAAGGCCATGGGGAAAGATAATGACCCGACTGACTGCAGTAAAGGCACTGACGAGCATCCTTGTCTGGAGGCATTTTACAGGGAAAAGGTGAACACTGCTTAGCTGGCCACCTTCTTCCATCGCTCTATGGTCCAGATTTGTTCACATGTAGGGGTTTTGGCAGTGTCAGCATGGGCACTCTGATCGGCCTGCATCTACGCAGCAGGCTGCGATACTCTGTGTATGTTGAAACCTTTTTGTCATAGCCAGGCTTTAAGCAGTTTGTGCTTTGCTGTGAGATCTGACACTTTGGGTGGTCGTGATTCTGTTGTCAACTTCTTCTGTTTTGAAGTAGTTGTGGTTGGTACCAACAACTGCATACCAATAAGAAAAGCACAAGACCTTCTGCTTTGGAGATGCTCTGACCCAGTCATCTAGCCATCCCCACACCCATCAGATCCGAATCCCGCCCATTTTTCTTCATTCCATCACATAAGCTTCAAGAAATGGCTCTTTAGTTGCTGCCTACTATAGTCCACCCATTGACAGGGGCCATGATAAAAAGACAGTCCATGCTCAAACAACCCAACAGTGACTTTCATGTTGTGGCTAATCTATGTATATGAGATTTCAAAGGATAGATCATCAACATATAAATGTATATGGAACAGGATATGGAATTCAACGTAAACTGTTTTTTCTTACAACACAATATTTTCTATACCAAATATGCTCTATACCTTTCCCCTCTGGCCATATGGACACTGCTAATGTCATTCTCCATTTTGGTTTTGAGTTACGTGTATGAGAAAGGGATGGATGCACCTAATCTTCACGATCTTGGTAAGCTTAGGAAAACACATAGTTCATATTTATGGCAGGAAGGTCACCCCATTCCAGTCAGAGTTGTTTAATATCCTTATTACTATGCCTAGCCACACACCAGCTCAGTGTAAGATACTCCACAATGGATGGCCTGTCGCTTTGTTGTGGTTATGGAAAAAAAAAAGAAAATAAATTAAAATAGGAAAAGCTTGAAGAAACAATGCCCCATTCTCTGAGGAAGCATCTGCACCCACTTCTAAGTCAGTTAAAGGCCAACAACTGCAAGATTAAATCACAGCTCCCAATGACCCACTAATGAGAACTTTCAAGTAGGCCTTGAACTAGGAAGTCTGAGGGCACAGTCCAGGCCCTGGCTGCAGCTGGAGTGACCATGGATCAGATCTAATACACAGACTTCAGACGTACAATGCAGGGACCATCTAACACAACACCACATTAAAAACTGTAAAAAGACGATTTTGTAGTCAACAGGAGTACCTAGAAAAGACAAAATGAAAGAACAAAATGACAGGTGTGGAATACTGCCCTCTCATATTCCCAGACTAGCCCAGAAAAGTCGTGTCCATGTCCTGCATACTACAAATGGTGCCACACTAAGGCACTGCATTCTATATATATGTGTAAATTACTGCCTTGAGATTCCACAAGTGTCAGTTATGATGCAATGACAGTGATTTTTAATCTTTATTATCCTTTGCCCACACTTCCAGAGGTTAGAATGGATTATCGGGCTTATTGACCACCAAAGAGTCCTTTAACATCCTGGCTACAATGGGAATGGAGCAGTGTTGAATCCTATAGATTGACATCTGCTGCTTGCAATCACTTTTGTGCCTGCATTTTCTAAACATATGAACAGTTTTATAGCATAAGGCGCTTTAAAAATGAGTCCATGGGCTGTTAGAGTGGATTGTTCACTAATCAGACGGTTGGTGGTTTGAAACACTGTAAAACGCTTTGTAGAACCTAGTTGACGTTAAAATGGGCTATATAATTGCAGACCATTTACTTTTTACGACAAGACAAGCAATATCTTATATTCAGCAGGGTTAGGGTTAGGCTACGAAGGTTTAGTGATCGTGTGAGGCAACTGCTTTGCTTTCATCCTGAGATGATTTATTGATGTGGTGACAGTCATTAGAAGTTAAAAAAACATGTGTGTGTATTGTTAAGGATGGATGTATTTACTCTGTTTCAGCATCTGGCACGTTAAGCAACTTATAATGGAACTAATCTGATTTGTTAAAACAAAGACAGGCTCTGCTCTTTTAGTCACTTGAACATATCTTTGTGTCGCCAGCACCTGGAAGCAGAAGACCAAGTCCTGCTCTTTACAGCTGAGTAACCCCACTTCATCTCAGCCCTTCTAGGCTGTTTGGTCAGCGGGCTGAGTTTAGTCATTTGCTTTTAAACTTCAGAGATGTTCTGGACCAAATCCACCCACACTGCCTTCGGCCTTGTATGGATTAAGCAAGAATGACAACCTCGTCTTGACTTTCATGAAGTGTGTGAAATTGAGCTCGGGCAGGCCTGACAACTTCTCCCACTCCTATTACATAGATTTGAGGAAACATTGGGGTGACATTGACATTGCTTCAAAGACTAAGAGATGAACATGATACTCATTTGTTTCTGTCAATCAAAGAAAAAAAAAAACACAGTGAGTCACAGCACAACCCGCACAGCTGGGAACCAGAACCCCCTTTCTATTACTGCTGAACATCAAAGCAACAGCAGAGAGTACACAATATCCCTTCTCCCACCCCCATTGTCTGTCACAGATGCAGACA